TATGAATAATATGGTATTACTCTGAATTTAGTAATACTTGAAATGATTTAAGTTTTTATTAATCACAACACCATTTGCATACATTTGAAAATAGTAATATACGCGTGTAGCATGTACTTTTTAAATTTCAAACTACACGTGTATATTATTTCATTGTGTCAGTTTAATTGCACGCTACATGTGTGTATTATATTTAAATAATTTAAAATTTAAAGTTTTTAAATTTTAAAAAGACACATGTGTAACACAATTTAATTTATGGAAAATAGGATCCCTGTATACCGATTTGCAAACTCATTGCAATAACTCTCCAGGCCCCCAGGGGTCTGAGAACCACTACTCTGGATCAGGGCTTGGTAAATAATGCTAAGGATACCTCTGAGTGGTATCCAGAGCATCTGTTTTCCCTTCTTTTCTAGCTATTTTTTTAAAAGTTTCATTCTTGCCTTTAATTTTCACTCCATTCATTTCTCCCTTAAGCCACAACCCTCCACTGACTCCAGAAAAAAACCATTTAAGCAAAACCAATCACACAGTGACCATATCTGACAGCATAAGCATTTGTTGTTCCATGTCTCTGCCTGAGATTGTTTATTAGTTTTCTAGAACCATAGTTTTCTAGAACCATGACTGCTGATTCCAGTTCACCAGTCGTCGTTCTCTTTGGTGTTGTCATTGTCTGTGTTATTGTAGTCATTGTGAATGTTGTTCTCTGCATCAGTTCATATAAGTCTTTCCATGTTTCTCTGAATTCCTTAGATTCATTGTCTCTTAGTACAATAATATTCTATTATGTTCACATACCATAATTTCTTTTGTGATTCCCCAATCAATAGGTACCAATTTTACTTTCAGGGTTTTTATTGTTGGTGGTGATGGGTGTGCTATCACAAAGAGTGCTGCTATGAATATTTGGTTATACAGAGAATCTTTCTGTCATTCACCTTCTTGGAGCATAGTCTCAGAATAGGATCATGGGGGGAATCAAAAGGCTGAGCCATTTAGTAACTTCTCTTCTATGATTCTAAATTAGAACAGTTAGACAAATTTACAGTTCCATCAGCAGTAGATTTGTGTGCCTGTCTTCCCACAGCCCCTCCAACGTTCGTGATTTCCATCTTTTGTAATCTTTGCCAATGTGCTGCATGAGATATGAAAACTCAGGGTTGTTTTCATTTGCATTTCTCTTATTAACTTTTTCCACATTTGATTATTGATTTGCTTGCATTTCTTCTTCTGAGAACTGTTTATATCATTTGACCACATATGTATTATTTCTTTTCTTTTATACTATCTCTGTCCCTCCCTATACCTCATATCACTCTTCCTCCTCTATCCTGCCACTCCTCTTTTTTCCTTCTTCCTTCCTTCCTTCCTTCCTTCCTTCCTTCCTTCCTTCCTTCCTTCCTTCCTTTCTTTCTCTCTCTCTGCACACTTTGGGTTTGCCAATCACCCTTCAAGGGCATCACCTGAGGACTAAGAGCATTTCTTAAATTATTATCTTTTTTCAAGGTCCACATCAAGTCACACCTTCTCCAGGAAGCCTCCCCCAACTACTCCAAACCCCACTGGTCTCTCTCCCTTCTCAAAACTCCTAAGGAACAAAAGATGAAAATTTGGACAGATACTTAGTGAAGCCAGGCTGGGAAACGATGGCTTCAGCCCCACTATTGCTTTCAATAATGATGGATGAGATGCTCATAACAGTTTTTGCAGGATAAATTAGTTAAGTAATCTGTTAAGAGCTAGAAGACCTGATGTCCTTTATAGACATCAACAATTCATGGGTCTCTTGGCCTCTCTGAGATTTTCCTCCTTACCCCTCATCCCCACTATTTCCCCACTATTTAGTTGGACTTTTGGATCCACCTCAGAACAAGGCTGATTTTCCTGTGCCCCAGAGTGACTTGTGGTGAAGAGGAAAGGTCCAGCTCGGGGACACCAGAGGGAGCCTTTACCCTGCTTTGGACTTAGCTCTCCTGGTCCCAGGAGAATGTCATAGCCCAGTATCACCTACCCTGGAGAGGAATTCAAAACTTTCCTTAAGGCAGTGGGCTCCGCGTTTCCCCCAAAGCATAAGGGGCCCACTTTGGCTGAGTCATTTTCCATCATTCCCCAAATGAATGTCTTTTGAGACCTGTACCCCCTTCTTTCTTGCTGACCCCAGCTCTGCCTCCTTTCCACTCCTTTGGTACCCCCTCTCCAGCCCCACCCTGCTTTTCCTCTTGGCTCCGTGGATCTCAGCCCTGCCTTTCCTATCTTCCCTCCACCTCCAACACCACCCACAATGTCTGCTCACCCTGGACCCCACCCTACCTTTCGGGCTTCTTGCCCTCTCTGTCCCCACCCAGCACTTCCCCAGCCCCACCCGATGACAGCCTCCAATCTCCACTGGACCTTCCTGCTCCCACCCACTCACTGCTCTCTCCACTCCAAGCATTCACCCTGCTTCCTCTCTCTCCACCCAGCCTTTGTGCACCCCCCCCCATTCAGCCTTCCCCTGTTGTTTTCTCTCTCTCCTATTCTGAGCAGTCTTCCACCAAACCAATCAGTCAAGCACCTACTACGTGCCAGGCCCTGTGCTAAGTGCTGAAGTTATAAAGAAAGGCAAAACCAGCCTCTGTTTTCAAGGATCTCACAGTCTAAATCTGTGAGCTCACGATCCAGTGACCTGACCTGGACAAGGGAAAGGCGTAGGGATAGAAAGGAGATAGTTCTCTTTCCCTGGAGTGCATTAGTGCAGGAAAACCCTTCCCTCCCTTTACAGCCTTGCCTTTCTTTCTCTCATCCTCCCTAGCGTAGGCTTCCATAAAAGCAGAACGCCTTTCCAGCCTGATTTCCCCACTGATTCTCCAACACAAACCCTTCTCGGCGGCCAAATTCAAGGTCTGGCTCAGGAGCCACCTCCTACAAGAAGTCTTCCTTGTTCTCCCCGTTCATTAAAGCACACTCTGTCCTGTCCAAGTCCTTGTGGCTGTCATCTAAGGACATCCAGGTCACTCCCATCCCCAGTCAATTCAGTCTCATAGTCTTCTGTGCCTCTAAGCCCTGCTTCCCAGCCCCATCTTGTTTCATTCTCTCATGATTCCCAGTTCTTCACCCTCCCCAATTCCTAGGATCTCTATCTCCAGTCTTCTCCAACTGCAGGAGTGGATGTGCCTTAGTACCATCCTCTGCCACCCCCCCACTCCCTTCAGACTCTACCTCAGCTCAACAAATTTTGATCCAGGGCCTAAAACTACTGGTTACAGCTCTGGCTAGAATTGATGGCCCCAAAGGCCCCTTCCAGCTCGAAATCCTGTTCAGATCAAACATTTATTAAATTCCTACTAGGTTCTAGGCAACTCATTAGGGGCTGGAGATATGAAGACAGAGATGAGACAGTCCCTGCCCTCAAGGAGCTTCCCTTTCACTAGATGGTCCTGTGATTGTGTGGTTGTATCTTAGACCTTTCCATTTCATCAGCTCTATAAGGCACAGTTTTCTGTGCACAGCAGGCCTCATTACATGTTTCCTGTTGCTGCTAGGGACCAAACAGTGACATTGTTAAGGTCTCTTGTTAGCAACTTCTCCTTACCTCGGTGGAGAATAGCTGGTAGCCAACTAGGAGCAAAGCCCTAAGGATAGGAAAAGCCAATAGTCTGGGGAAAGGAGCGCTGGATTTGGAGTTAGAGGACCTGGGTTCAAATCCTGGCTATGCAATTACTACTTAGGTGATCTTGAGCAAGTCACTTCCTTTACTTGGAGCTCAGTTTCCTTCTGCAAGTTGAGAGGGGAGGTCGAACTCCGCCAGAGTAATTCTTAACTTTTATTGGTCTCGGACCATTTCGGTAGCCTGGTGAAATCTATGTATCCCTTTCCAAAATAATATTTTTAAATGTCTAAAGTAAAAAAACTGGAATTACAAAGGTAATGAATGATGTTGAAATGTAGTTGGGGAGAGGCCATCAAAGGGAGAAACCACATCGGGGGCCTTCCTTAGCGGGAGGCTTGCCTGTCCGTGTCCTTTCTGATGGGCAGGCATGGAGGAGGTGCAACATGCGCTGGTTTTGCCCTTGCTTTTGTTTTGTCCTTGTGTAATTTTATTTATTTATTTTACAGTTAACAAGCATTTATTTTCTCTCCCCCACTTTCCCTTCCCCCCATCCTCTGTCTAACTTAGGGACCTCCTCTGACAAGTAGGCATAGTCTAGCAAAATAGATTCCCTCACTGACCATGTTTCCTTCTGGATCCTCTCTCTGAAATCGTGGTTGCTGATTTAATTGATCAGAATTCTTAAGTCTTTCTAAAAGTTTGACCTGCAATGTATACCAAAGAAAAAGACCCAAATGAGGAAATTCTAGATTTGGGGGGTTACTAAAGTCCTGGTTCTACCCTTGGTTTGAGGTTGGGCCTGGGATTTTGTTGGTATAGGGAACTCCCAAGGTAAGAAAACTTCTCTACCAATGCTTGAAGCATTGTAAGTTAGAGAGTTGCTTAGAGGTTAAGTGATTTGCCCAAGGTAATGCAGCCAGCACTTGAACCCAGGTCTTCTTCCATGATGTCATGAGACACCCTTGTTTTGGCTAGGCAATGGAGTTAAGTCATTTGCCCAGGGTCACACAACTAGTAACCGTCAAGTGTCTGAGGCCAGATTTGAACTTAGGTCCTCCTGACTCCAAGGCCAGAGCTCTATCCACTGCACCACCTAGCTGCCCCTCACTTAAAATATTGTGATGGCCAAGTTTGGCCCCTGCACTCTCTTTTGATGAGGGAGATCCTGAATAATAAAAATCCCTATCCCCCCAAGTAGTGCTTTCTGTAGTCTGATACTAGAATGAAAGAGGGCCAGCTCTGGCCTCCCTGTCTATGCTGGGCTTTATTTTTATTATTATTATTATTATTATTATATTATTATTATTATTATTATTATTATTATTATTATTATTATTATTATTATTAGGTACGGATGCTGAAAGCCTCTTCTGCTCCTTTCTCTTTTCCCCTTGTTTGCCAACAGATGTTTGCTGGGGGTAAGCTACTCTTTGGGGGCTTTATCTTCAACGGATATGAATGCTGTAGCAAGAAGAATCTACTGAAACAGATTTTCCTGGCCCGCCAACATTGCAAGATGGGTTACTTCCTGCCTGACAACTTCAAATTTAGGTAAATCAGGAAACACATGGGATGAGTTGGCCTGGGGGGTTGGGAAACTGCCCAGACAGAAAGACACAGGGGAGGAGGAGGAGAGAAGGAGGAGACCTGAAGGAAGGAGGGAGCCTGGCTGGGGGAGATGAATGGGACAGCCGATAAGGGATGTGGGTGTGCAGGGCTGGGGACCTAGCTGTTATCAGCTGCCTGGTCCAGGCAGGGGGAAAAAACAACAACAACTAAGGAAAAACACCAAAAATCCCCCAGGAGGGGCCAGAGGAAACATATCTCACTAATAGGCAGCTTAGTACACTAGGATCTGCATGGCACTTGAGGTAAGAGATCTGGGTTCAAATCCTAGTTCTGCCATGAGCTTGGGTTATCTGAGCAAGTCTTTGAACCTCAGCATTCTTATCTTTAAAATGGGGATATTGATACTTGGGCTCACTAGGGTGTGGTGAGGAGGATTAAATGAGGCAATGTATATGAAAGAGAGGCTGGGGAGAATGTATATGAAACGGATATGAAAGAGGGTAGTGGCTAGAAAGTCAGAAGTCAGAAAGGGCTAAAGTTTAAATACTGCCTTTGACTGGTACTAGCCCTTTTCAGGACTGCTCATCCACCTTTGGTGCCCACCTGTCGCCTAACTCTCACCCGTGCAGTGGCCACACCCCAGTAAACCATCTCAGCATATAGGCTAAATCAGGTTGAGGGTAACTGACAGGTCTCAAACCAGTCAGTGCATTAGGGGGATGTCTACCCCAAGCACGTGAAGACCTCACCCAGCAGAATGGGCAGATGAAGCAATTGCTATGGAATGCTTAGAGCTTGGCCAAACGTCATAGATGCCAAAGTCATCCATTGCATCCCGGGCCATGGACAGTCATCTTGACTTTTGCCCTACCATTGAATTTCGATGACTCTAGAAAGAAAAAGTGAGTTGACAACTTTGGGCAACTCTGCCCCATTTAAATCCAATTTAAATTAACCACAGGGACAAGACCTGATCTCATGATGTCATTGGTCCTCTGGAAATGAAGGACAAACAACTAAAGCTGTCTGACCCTAGGCAAGTCATTTAATAAGCCTCAGTGCCTCAGGCAAAAGTCTGCAGTTCTGAATTGGTAGAGGGAGTTTCTTACATCAAAGAAACAGATCCTGTGCCAAAAAAAAAAAAGCACATGGAAGAATCATAAAACACAACGTTAACGTAAGTTTCTATTAGAATACCTGGGAGGTGTTGCAAGATAGTGGTTTATATACTTTGAGAGGGGCCCTAAGTAGACATTCCAGGAAATAGATTAGTTTACACAAGTGCCCTGATGGGATAAATAAACAAGTATGATAGTCCATTGGATTCTCTTGAAGAAATTGGGACTTGAAATAGCTTATGCTTTGTTTCCATTCATAACATCAAAAAACAAGATGGTTCGTGTTTATGGAGGATTTCAGTTAAAGAAGAATTTAGAACTGAAAGGGACTTTAGAAGACCATCTCGTCTAACTACCCTTATTTTACAGAGGAAGGAATTGAGGCCAGAAGGGTTAGGTGACTTGCTCCTCGATCACACAGGACTGAGTAACAGAGCCAAGATTTAAATAGAAATCTTCTGGCCTCAAATCCAGCATCCCTCCCAGTATTCCAATGGGGGAAATGAGGGCATGAGATGATTTGAGCGTGAGCATGGATTACCAGTCCCAGCACCACACTTTCCTTCTCATTCCCAGCCACACAGAGATTATTACTGTAAATCTTACTCATCTTCTGTGTAACTTTGGCCTTATGTATCCCTAGATTGAAATTTAGGCAACATAGAAAATGTCCATTCAAAGTCCCCAGGTGTAAGAAGGAGTATATAGAGGGAAGAGGCTAAGAGAGGTATTGGGGAGCACCCACACTTAGTGAACATTCAGCGAAGGAAATTGAGAAGAGATGCTCAAGAATGGCAAGGGAACCAAGAATAAGGAAGAGCAGGCAGTGGGGTCCACAGATGTCAAACACTGCAGAAAGGTCAAGTAGAGGACTAGGAAAAATCCATTGGCTTTAACAGTTAAATGACTATTAGTAACATTAGGTAAGCAGTCTCAGTTCTGTGGTGGGGTTACAAACTAGACTATGAGGGGATGGGAGCTGCATAGGTGATGAGAAAATGGATGTGACAGCTGTAGACAGTGCTTTCTCTGAATTTAGCCATAAAACGGGGAAATTATAGGATGATGGCTTGAGTAGCTAGCAGGATCAAGTAAAGATTTTTTAAAATTTATTAATTTATTTTTAATTTTCAACATTCGCTTCCACAAGATTTTGAGTTCCAAATTTTCTCCCCATCTCGTCCCTACCCTACCCCAAGATGTGTGCATTCTGAATATCCCTTTCCCTAAAGTGCCCTCCCTTCTACCTCCCCCACCCCATCTCTTATCCCCTTCCCCTTCTATTTTCCTGTAGGACAGATTAGATTTCTATACCCCATTGCCTGTATATCTTATTTCCCAGGTGCATGTGAAAGCAACTTTTAACATGTTTTTAAAACTTTGGGTTCCAAATTCTCCCCCTTCCTCCCTCCCCACCCACCCTCACTGAGAAGGCAAGCTACTCAATATAGTTTATACATGTGTAGACATGCAAAACACTTCCATAATAGCCATGTGGTAAAAAAAACTATTTCCCTTCATCTTATCCCACCTCCCATTTATTCTATTCTCTCTTTTGACCCTGTCCCTCCTCAGAAGTGTTTGCTTCTGATTACCCCCTCCCCCAATCTGCCCTCTCCTTTTTCATCCCCCCACTCTCTTATCCCCTTCCCCCCTATTTTCCTGTCGGGTAAGATAGATTTCCATACCCAATTGAGTGTGTATGGTATTCTCTCCTTAAGCCAAATCTGAAAATAAGATTCACTCATTCCCTCTCACCTTCCTCCACTTCCCCTCCACTGTAAAAGCTTTTATTGTCTGTTTTATGTGAGATAATTTACCCTATTCTACCACTTCTTTGCTCCTTCTCCCAGTATAATCCTCTCTTACCCCTTAATTTTATTTTGTAGATATCATCTCTTCATCTTCAACTCACTCTGTGCCCTCTATATCTATCTATCTACTTCTCTACCTACATATAATTTTTCCCCCTCCAACTACTCTAATACTGACAAAGGTATCATGAGTTACAAATATCATCTTTCCATGTAGGAATGTAGACAGTTCAACCTTAATAAGTCCCTTATGATTTCTCTTTCCTGTTTACCTCTTCATGCTTCTCTTGAGTCTTGTATTTGAAAGTCAAATTTTCTGTTCAGCTCTGGTCTTTTCATCAGGATGCTTGAAAGTCCTCTATTTCACTGAATTTCCACTTTTCCCCCTTTTCCCCCTGAAGGATTATAGTCAGTTTTGCTGGGTAGGTGATTCTTGGCTGTAATCCTATCTCCTTTGAGCTCCAGAATATTATATTCCAAGTCCTCTGGTCCCTTAATGTAAAAGCTGCTAAATCTTGTGTTATCCTGATTGTGTTTCCACAATGCTTGAATTGTTTCTTTCTGGCAGCTTGTAATATTTTCTCCTTGACCTGTGAACTCTGGAATTTGGCTACAATATTCCTAGAAGTTTTCCTTTGGGGATCTCTTTCAGGAGGTGATCAGTGAATTCTTTCCATTTCTGTTTTACCCTTTGGTTCTAGAATATCAGGGCAGTTTTCCTTGATAATTTCTTGAAAGATATATCTAGGCTCTTTTTTTTGATCATGGCTTTCAGATAGTCCAATAATTTTTAAGTTCTGTCCTCTGGATCTATTTTTTCCAGGTAAATTGTTTTCCCAATGAGAAATTTTACATTGTCTTCTATTTTTTCATTCTTTTGGTTTTGTTTTACAATGTCTTGATTTCTCATAAAATCACTAGCTTCCATTTGCTCCATTCTAATTTTTAAGTAAGTATTTTCTTCAGTGAGCTTTTGGACTTCCTTTTCCATCTGGCCAGTTCTGCTTATTAAGGCATTCTTCTCCTCATTGGCGTTTTGGACCTCTTTTGCCATTTGGGTTAGGCTATTTTTTAAAGTACTATTTTCTTCAGTATGTTTTAGGGTTTCTTTTAGCAAGCTGTTGACTTGTTTTTCATCACTCTCATTTCTCTTCCCAGTTTTTCCTCTTCTTCTCTTATTTGCAACCCAGATCCAAGCATGGGCAAAGCAAGATAATTCTGCCTCAGTACCAGCAAAGAGTTCTCTGCAATCCCCCTCTGATCAGCTGCTTGATCTCCCCACCAGCTGTGGGTGAAGAGCTCCAGAAGCAGCCATAGCCCCAGAGCTGTGCTGGGACCTGGCCTGGGACTGAGCTTCTCTCTCATTGCCATCACAGAACTTTCCTACTGACCTTCTAAGTTGTCTTTGGTGTTTGTGGGTTGAGAAGTCTGGAAACTGCTACAGTTGCTAGTGATTCAGTCCTCTGAGACCTGCTCCAGGTTCACTGAGGCCTGGTGTTTGTCTGCATGCCCACGCTGAACTGTGTTCCTCTCTGAGTCTGGCTCAATAGACCTTTCCAATCAACCATCCATGTTGTCTTGGACTGGAAATTGGTCTTTTTGTGGGTTCTGCTGCTCTAGAATTTGTTTAGAGCTTTTTTTTTTTACAGGCATTTGGAGGGGGTTTGGGGGAGAGCTCAAGCAAGTTACTGCTTTCATTCCACCATCTTGGCCACACCCCCAAAGATTTTTTTTTAAGATAAGGGGAGCCTGGGCATGTTTGTAGATGGAAAGAAAGGAGTCAGTGAATAAAGGGAGCTGGAAGATGAGAGAAGAGAGAGAATGATCAAGGGGCAAGTTACTGGAGGAGCAGTTAGAAGGAAATGGGATCAAGAAAACTGGTTCAGGAGTTGATCTAGACAAGGAGAATCTGACAACATATGTACCATTCTATACTCTTAGTCTACCACTTTCCTATTAAGAGGATAGAAATAAGTTTAATTATCACTCCCCTTAAAGATTATCATCCCCTCTTGATATTTTATAGACTCAATTCTTCAGGGCTAGTATT